ATGGATGGCTCCCAACAGGTTTGCCTACGAGTGTCTTTCAATAATTAATTTGATATATAGTGCTTCATAATTTCTTTCCTAGTCAACCCTGCCCCTAACAATGTTTGTGTCAGGGATGTTTGGTGAGTGGCAGCCCCAAATGAGTGAGCATGAAAATTAACTTGACCGAAAGAATAGAACATTTTTAAGCTGTCACAAAGGAGATACGTTGCAGTTGAAAAACTTGGGAGAATGTTTATGGTTTCTGTACTGGGTATTGACTCGGATATGCCTCTGACTATTGTAAATATATAATGGAATATAAGTTTCAGTTTTGTCTCTGTGAGCATTCCATTGTGGTCACAAATATTGGAATGTATTTCGTTTGTAGATATTCCAACCAAGTCCTTCTAGTGATGAGAGCATGGATTTGTTTCTGATATTGTTAAAGTTTATGCTAGGGACCCCAAGTAAAATTACAAAAAATTGCTAAACCTCTACACCATGGGTGTGGGATCCAACAATCACATGTGGTGGTCCCCACATCCCATGTGTATAATGTTTGTGTTATTTATTTTGGTAATTTACTTGGATCCATAGCATTTCCTTGTTCAATACTCTTGACTGTTATGACATTATAATGTGGTCTTCTTTGTTTTCTGATATTGTTTGGTGAACTCTTGACCGTATAAAAGTTATTCTTTTTATGATTACCTTACATATGCTCTCTCTCTCTCTCTCAGCAACACACACACACACACACACACACACATTTCCAGTGCGTTCTATTTTAAATTTCAATCCCTTTTCTGGCTAAACTAAATTTGTGCCATGTTGTGTGCTTTTAAGCACTGGAAGAAACTTGACACAGGTCTTATGATTGATTATATCTCACAAAAATTAGTGTTTGCATTTACATGCTTTTTTCCCATCAGATTTGTTTTTTTTTTTGTTTTATTACACTTAGTCTTAGGTCATGTTTGATTCACAAGATTAATAGTGAAGTATTAATAATCCTATTAAATTAGTGTGGTATTCACTATCCAATTGGATTAATATCCATTGGATTAATAATCTCACCCCTACCCCATTACTAATAATCCTACAAATTTGTTGGATTAATTATCCATTGAATTAATAATCTTAAATCAAAATATTAAAACAAACATAGAATAATTGGCTTCACGGATTAATAATCCCAATCCCATGCTCTAATCCGCCCAATCAAACATGCCCTTAAGGCACAAGATATTTGCCATAGGTTGATTTTGATGTGTGCATCCTGAGGTCCAACTTATTCTTTCTTGTTTTTGATATTTGCCATAGGTTGATTAATTATCTATATACTTGGTTCATTCATGCTTTTGTGCATGCTTATGGATCTGCTAAGAATGTTCTCATTTCTCACATTTGTGCACTTTTTCCTGTTGGAAACAATCCTTGGAGTGACTTAATGAATGGTCAAATCTATGCCTGTACTTTGGGGCTAGGAGATTGAGCATTTTGTTTATTCCAGAATCGGAAAGAGAAAAAGTGTGTGAAACTAGGTGAAATATAGGTATATTTTATTCACATTTCACCTATATTTTCCATTTCCCTTTCCAAATTCCTCCCCAAATCCCCCAACCAAACACAGCATTAATGAACGGTCAAATCTATGCCTGTACTTGGGGCTAGGAGATTGAACATTTTGTTTATTCCAGAATCTTCTTGTGTTTGATTATGTCTGAATTTCAATCTCAGATATGGGTATATGGGAACAGCTTTGAGTCTTTCCTTGTTGCTGTTGTAAACCCAAATAAGCAAGTACTTGAACGTTGGGCTGAAGAAAATGGTGTACCTGGGGATTTCAATTCCCTCTGTGAAAATCCCAAGGCAAAACAAAACGTACTTGTAGAGCTCACACGGATTGGAAAGGAAAAGAAGGTTTGTGTCTTTTACACTTCCAACCACCTCTCATTTCTACTTCCATTTGATAATTGAATAATAATCTGAGTTAGCAGAGGGGAAGAAAACGTTATTTACTTCCAGAAGATTTCTGAAACTTTTGTGATGTGCCTGGCAGTTGAACGGGTTTGAATTTATAAAAGCTGTTCATCTTGACCCCGAGCCATTCGACATGGAGCGTGACCTTCTGACCCCAACATTCAAGAAGAAGAGGCCTCAGTTGCTCAAATACTACCAGGTAGCTCTTCTTGATTCTCTCAAGGAAACTCATGGCATGCCATTGTACTATGTTCATTGACTAGATGCTTTGACCCAAAAATGTTTTGAAATATGTGAAATGTGTATTAGAATTCTAATTTTTTTCCAGTGAGACTTGAGAGGAATCGGGAGGAAACCATTTCATTGTAGAAAAATATGTATTAGAATAATCTGTGGAGAAGAAAAGCCAAAAATTGACCCCCCTCGAGTTAAAATCCTGGTTCCGCCCTTGGCCATGAGTGTTTGAACATTGGAGATTTCTAGTTCACTCCATGTTGCCATCTGCCAAGCAACTAGTGCATGCAAGAACTTTTAGTCGACTTAAATTTCCAATTAACTTTTTTGGAATTTGTTAATTTGTCATTTCTGTTTATGACTACTTTATAGTACTCTTTTTTTTTTTTGGGTGGCACAGTACTAAGGGGAAATCTTTGTGTTGCATTGCAGAACATTGTTGACAACATGTACAAGGGTGCAAAGTAAGCAAACTGCCTGAAGATGGTGTTTTCTAAATTTTAACAGCCCTAAAAAAGGATCTTCATTCTTCGATGCTATTGCCAGTTTTGGCTTTTTGGCATCCCACTCTCTGTATATATTGTTGGTTACTTGTATAACCTTGATGATTAGTGCTATACAAATCAACAAAACTTGCAAACCGATGTGGCACCAATCATGTTAATTTATTGGATTTAATTTCACTTTTCATAGTTCTATTAATGCATGCCAAAACCAAATCTTGTTCAGTTCTATCGAAGCTGTGTTTTCTCTAATTATTAGGACTGAGTAAGGAATCTGTAAAATCCGTAATTCGATCCAGTCCAGTCTAATCCGATAGGTTTGGATTGGTTTTTTAAATCCGTGGTTCGGTTCCGGATTGAAGAATTAAAAATCTGTAGTACACGGATTGGTTCTGGATTGAACTCCACGGTTCCGGATTGGAACCGATCCGGACCGCATACAAATAGTATATATTTTTATTATACATCCTCCCCCATAGTATCTTTTCTTATTTTATATAAAATCTAAACTCAAACCTAAAACTGTATAATATCTTCTTTTATTACTTTTGTTTGTTAGTTTTTAATTTTAATTTGTAATGATTTAAATACTTATGGTGAAACCAGTTTTCTTATGGTTGTTTAAATTCTAGAACAATATGTCGCTGTTATAGAAATAGATGTTGCTATTGTGAAACTAATATAGCGCTATGTTTGTATTTTTATGAAATTAAAGTGTTATATATATATTTTTGTTATTTAATTATGTGAATCCGTGGTCCTAAACCGATCCAATCCGTATTTAAATGGATTGGTTTCATGATTTAAACGGATTGGATTGGTTCCAATTTTTCAGGAACCGTAGATAACGGATTGGTCCTGATTTTACCCCAATCCAGTCTAATCTAGACCTTGCTTACCCTTATTTATGCATAGAAGAGTTAAAAAGCTAATAAGTTAAATAAGAGATTACTAAATAAATTAACTTCTGTAAGTAACAATTTATTTATCAACTTATTTTAAGCCAATAAGTTAATTTAAAAGTAGTGTGTCAAAGAAAACTTAAAAAAGCCTTTTTATAGGGGCATTTCCCTAAATAAGCCAAAATAATAAAGGAATTCCCAAACTAAGCTTAGTTTTGAAAGATTTCCCAAAATGAGCTAACTCCCGGTTCACAATCGCGAGTTCAGCACTTTTCCACCCCTGTCGCGCGAAACCTGCCAAATTTGAAACTCGTTATTACGAAAAGCGAGTTTGATTAAGAACTCGCGGTTACGAAACGCGAGTTTAATTAAATTTTTTTTCCTTTGAACTCGCTTTTTACAAGCACGATTTCATGCTGAACTCGCTTTTTGAAACCACGAGTTCATCAAAAAATAGATTTCTTCCGAACTCGCTGTTCATAACCATGAGTTTATCAAAAATTATCAACTCGCTATTTGTAACCACGATTTTAGGGCAAATTTTTTTTCTTTAAGTGAAATCGTGGTTCACAACCACGATTTTAAAACTTATATTTAACCCCCCCAGCCCCGTGTTTTGCATTCACGCTTTCTCCTCTCTCTCTCTGTTGTCTCTCTCTCGCTCTTTACTCCTCTCACTCTGTTCTCTCTCTCTCGAGCTACCTGCTCTCTCTCTCTCTCTCTCTCGAGCTCCCTCTGATTGATTCAGTACTGTCTCTCTCTCTCGTTGGTATGGCTTCTATCATCTACTTTACTGTCAATAAATTAGGATTAGAGTTTAAATTTGTGAATATATTTATGTTTGTGAAAATGTGAATAAATTAGGGTTAGGGTTCATGAATGTGGGGTTAGGATTAGGGTTAGGGTTTATATTCGTGAATAAAATGTTGTGAAATCACAAATAATAAATTAGGGTTACGGTTTATATTTGTGAAATTTTAAGTATAGTGACATTTGTACAATAATGTATACTAGTGGCACTACTGGTGACCCAAAGGGCGTTCTGATTTCCAATAATAGCATTGTTACTCTTATAGCTGGGGTGAGGTGCCTGCTAGGGAGCGTTCATGAATTGGTAAGCATGTGAATCAATTTACATTCATAAATCTACGTGGCAGGCTATTTATTTGATTTAATCTAAATTATTCTGCTTTATTTAGGATTTCTTGCACATCCATTTGAAAATTTTACAGTTGACTGAAAAGGATGTATATCTTTCATATCTTCCTCTGGCACATTTCTTTGATCGAGTGATTGAAGAGTGTTTTATCAATATTGGCGGCTCAATAGGATTTTGGCGCGGGGTAATATGACTACCAATTCTTTTCCTTCCACATTAGAGTTCAATGTAACAATTCGGTGTTTGTTACATCTTCAGGATGTCAAACTATTGACTGAAGATATTGGTGAGCTGAAACCTACTATTTTCTGTGCTGTTCCCCGAGTACTGGATAGAATTTATGCAGGTAAGTTTTTTCTTTCTCAATGGATGCAAATGCGAGTTGGTACACGTTCTGAGCAAAATAGAACCTAAAGGGACACTTTCATCGGTAGTAGATAATGAAACACAATGGCTTTAATCAACTGCAGTGGTTTTGATCCATCACACAGTAATCAACTAAAATATGAAACAGTAAAAGATTTAATGTTAGTGATTAATTTTTGTGTTCTGTTTTAATTCCAAAAACATTTATGCTCTAGAAAGCATGAAACAAATTCAGTGTATTTTAAGTTGTTAAATTTTGATAATTTGTTATTTTGGTCTGCCATGGGACTATTAAAATCTGAATAGAGAACACAAGAAACAGAATGGTTAATGAGGGCAGAGTTAAATTTAAATACAATGGTGCTCATTTCAGAGGCACATAGTGTACTTTCATAATTTCATTCTGTTGCAAAACATAACTTCAAGTTTCATGCATTTTATTCTCCAACTCCGGTTCTTATTTTCAGGTTTGCAACAGAAGATCTCATCTGGGGGTCTCTTAAAAAATACTATGTTCAACTTCGCATACTCATAGTAAGTTCTACTCGACATCTCTAACCTCCTAGTAAAAGAAAAAAAGAAAAGAAAAGAAAAGAAAAGAAAAGAATAATAGGGATATCTTGTGGAATCACTTATGCCCACATCAATTTCTTTTCATTTGAAGATTCTATTTTATTTATTAACCCTTTCAACTGAAGACCTTTCATCACTTCTTGAAGGACATCATCGCAACCATATATTGATTGGTCAAAAATTTGTGACTAGATATTCAATTCTTCCAAAATTTGGGTCATTTTTTTCCTTTGGAACAATTTCATGTTCTTAATTCTGTTTCTCATTGTATTTATATAACCTTGAAATTACCCTTTTAAGATCAGAACTCTGTACTTTATAGTTCCTATTTCAAGTGTCATCTCATTCATCATGCATTTTTTTATAATATAGATTTTGTATTAAAAGGCACAAATCAAAAGGCGGTGCAACCCTTTATGCATCATGTGTACGAAACATAAACTGTGGCTACCCTATGTGTATCTACAGGGACTTGGATTTTTCTACAGTGTTTGCTTTAATTGTAAGGTAGCTAATTTGTTGTCATTTTGTGCTGTCTAATTTTTATCTGCATTTAAACAAATGTTGCAGCAAGCTACATAACATGAAGAAGGGGAGTAAACATGTAGATGCAGCTCCACTTTGTGACAAAATTGTTTTCAATAAGGTGGTGGACATTCTTGTAGCAGCTTTTCATTCTTCTTTTCCTCTTTTACTTTCTCATGGGACCATATATACAAAACTTAATCTTTAATATGGCTTTCGTTTCTTTTAACTCCATCCTCAGGTAAAGCATGGGCTAGGGGGAAATGTACGGCTTATTTTATCTGGAGCGGCACCTCTTGCTACTCATGTAGAAGCTTTTCTACGAGTGGTGGCATGTTGTCATGTTCTGCAAGGATATGGTATGTCGTCCTTTGAAATTTGTACATATCAATTTATGTTTGAATTATTTTATCTGCCTTTTTAGCATGTACATTTGAATTTCACTCATTCCTCCTGTTGGAAGTGGTTTTTGTTAGTTATCAGCCTATTTGAGGCAGCTTGCTGATATATGTTTCTTTGTTTCTTAAACTCCACTTGGGAATGAGTTCTATTACACTTCGCTTTGAAGGCATCTGAGAAAGTTTGATGAAATTTCTTTAAATCCATTACCTCAGTGCCATATTCCCCCTGTTTCTGCCCATGAATGGAGACTTCTACTAATTCAGCACTGGTATCTTCCATTGTATATCCATTGTCATACAGTAAACTTAAATTTTTTTTTTAATTTGTTTTCTTTCTGTGATGTAGGTCTCACAGAAAGCTGTGCGGGAACATTTGTCTCACTACCAAATGAGCTGGGTATGCTTGGTACAGTTGGTCCTCCAGTACCTAATGTGGATGTGTGCCTAGAATCTATTCCTGAAATGGGATATGATGCCCTCTCAAGCACACCACGCGGAGAAATATGTATAAGGGGCGATACCTTGTTCTCAGGGTACTACAAACGTGAAGACCTCACCAAAGAGGTCCTGATTGATGGATGGCTCCACACAGGTTTGTCTATGACAGTGTCTTTCATAATTAATTTGACATAGTGGTCATAATTTTCTTTCTTAGTCAACCCTGCCCCTAACAATGTTTGTGTCAGGGGATGTTGGTGAGTGGCAACCCAATGGGAGCATGAAAATTATTGACCGAAAGAAGAACATTTTTAAGCTGTCACAAGGAGAATATGTTGCAGTTGAAAACTTGGAGAATGTTTATGGTTCTGTTACTGGTATTGACTCGGTATGCCTCTGAACTATTGTAAATATATAAATGGAATATAAGTTTCAGTTTTGTCTCTGTGAGCATTCCAATTGTTGTCAACAAATATGGAATGTATTCGTTGTAGATATTACCAACAATGTCCTTTTAGTAATGAGAGCATGGATTTGTTTCTGATATTGTTTTAAAAGTTATGCTAGGGACACCAAACAAATTACCAAACCTCTCACATGGGTGTGGAACCCACACAAATGTGTGGGTTCCACACCCATGTGAGAGGTTTGGTAATTTACTTGGGATCCATAGCATTTTCCTTGTTTTAATACTTCTTGATTGTTATGACATTATAATGTGGTCTTCTTTTGTTTCTGATATTGTTTGTGTAACTCTTAACCGTTAAAAGTTATTCTTTTTATGTATTACCTTACATAGGCTCTCTCTCTCTCTCTCACACACACACATTTCCAGTGCGTTCTATTTTAAATTTCAATCCCTTTTCTGCTAAACTAATTTGTGCATGTTGTGTGCTTTTAAGCACAGGAAGAAACTTGACACAGGTCTCTATGATTGATTATATCTCACAAAATTAGTGTTTGCATTTACAGGCTTTTTTCCCATCAGATTTGTTTTTTGTTTTCTTACACTTACGGCACAAGATATTTGCCATAGGTTGACTTTGATGTGTGCATACTGAGGTCCAACTTATTCTTTCTTGTTAAAACTTGAGGATATCTATATACTTGGTTCATTCATGCTTTTGTGCATACTTATGGATCTGCTAAGAATGTTCTCATTTCTCACATTTGTGCACTTTTTCCTGTTGGAAACAATCCTTGGAGTGACTTAATGAATGGTCAAATCTATGCCTGTACTTTGGGGCTAGGAGATTGAGCATTTTGTTTATTCCAGAATCTTCTTGTGTTTTATTATGTCTGAATTTCAATCTCAGATATGGGTATATGGGAACAGCTTTGAGTCTTTCCTTGTTGCTGTTGTAAACCCAAATAAGCAAGTACTTGAACGTTGGGCTGAAGAAAACGGTGTACCTGGGGATTTCAATTCCCTCTGTGAAAATCCCAAGGCAAAACAAAACGTACTTGTAGAGCTCACAAGGATTGGAAAGGAAAAGAAGGTTTGTGTCTTTTACACTTCCAACCACCTCTCATTTCTACTTCCATTTGATAATTGAATAATAATCTGAGTTAGAGGAGGGGAAGAAAATGTTATTTACTTCCGGAAGATTTCTGAAACTTTTGTGATGTGCCTGGCAGTTGAAAGGGTTCGAATTTATAAAAGCTGTTCATCTTGACCCTGAGCCATTTGACATGGAACGTGAACTTCTGACCCCAACATTCAAGAAGAAGAGGCCTCAGTTGCTCAAATACTACCAGGTAGCTCTTCTTAATTCTTTCAAGTCTCTGAGTGCTGGGAAGGTAACCAGATCTCTGAGCTTCGAAGAAGAGGCCTCAGTTGCTCAAATACTACCAGGTAGCTCTTCTTAATTCTTTCAAGGAATCTTATGGCATGCCATTGTACTATGTTCATTGACTAGACGCTTTGACCCCAAAATGTTTTGAAATATGTGAAATGTGTATTAGAATTCTAATTTTTTTCCAGTGAGACTTGAGAGGAATCGGGAGGAAATCATTTCATTGTAGAAAAATATGTATTAGAATAATCTGTGGAGAAAAAAAGCCAAAAATTGACCCCCCTCGAGTTAAAATCCTGGTTCCGCCCTTGGCCATGAGTATTTGAACATTGGAGATTTCTAGTTCACTCCATGTTGCCATCTGCCAAGCAACTAGTCCATGCAAGAACTTTTAGTTGACTTAAATTTCCAATCAACTTTTTTGGAATTTGTTAATTTGTCGTTTCTGTTTATGACTACTTTATAGTACTCTTTTCTTTTCTTTTTTTTTGGGTGGCACAGTACTAAGGGGAAATCTTTGTGTTGCATTGCAGAACATTGTTGACAACATGTACAAGGGTGCAAAGTAAGCAAACTACCTGAAGATGGTGTTTTCTAAATTTTAACAGCCCTAAAAAAGGTTCTTCATTCTTCGATGCGATTGCCAATTTTGGCTTTTTGGCATCCCACTCTTTCTTGAAACTGTATATATTGTTGGTTACTTGTATAACCTTGATGATTAGTGCTATACAAATCAACAAAACTTACAAACCGATGTGGCCCCAATCATGTTAATTTATTGGATTCAGTTTAACTTTTCAAAGTTCTATTAATGCATGCCAAAACCAAATCTTGTTCAGTTCTATCGAAGCTGTGTTTTCTCTAATTATTCATCTTTCTAGTCTTTGACACAAGAAAAGGAAATTTCCATCCTTTGTGTTGAAAGATAAATTTGGTATTGAAAAGAGAAAGGTTTATTGGCTTTAGACAGGGATGGACAGATTGTTCAAATTGTATCAATTTAAAAACTGAGAGGTTTAATATGAAAAATTAGAACACCAAGGTTTAATTAAATCCTGAATTGTTTTTGTAATTCTCTGAAGATATTGTTATCATTATTGTTACTTTGCAGGTACATACTTGAGTTTGTATTGGTCAGTCACCAGATATCGAATTGGGAGAACTGGAATATTAAGATTTGGTCCCTATTTGTGCCGACTCAACAATCATTTTTTGGTCTAATTTTTTTTTAATGATATATTTTTCCTAAAATTGTTTAGAAAACATTATATTTTATATAAAAATGGCCAAAGAACACAGGCATAGAAAGATTGGAGCACTTAATTATAATGTGAACTTGAGACAAAGATACCAAGAAAAAGAATTCAATACATAAACCAAAATTCATCAATCAAATGACAAACATGAGAAATCTTTTGTCATTGCACAAACTATATTCATATTGCAAATGTGAAATTTTGGAAATACAATTACATAAGAGAGAGAGCACTCAAAGCTGTTTCTAAAGGACTAAAAAAAAAATCTCCTTGATTTTTTTTTTTCTGACTGAGAAATGATTTTCTTCTCAACATTCACACTTGCCCTATCTGTGTCTCAAAACTATCAATGCTAACAACTACTGAAGTGGAGGAGAAAGAGGATGAGCACACCTGTTTAATCATCTCTTCACGCCTTTCTCCCTCCTACATTCCATCGGCAAACCTACTCTCAATCCCAAATCAACAAGTAATTGAAAAATTACAACTTAAAAAAACAAATCCCTTTCCAAATTGCATCTTGTATAGCTGCACAATCCCAATTCTTGCATCACAACCCGAGAAAAGAAAAACCCATGTCAGCCACCTCTTTTCGTAATTTTAGGCCAAATTGTAGATTGAGACCGAGACATCAGCTTGAGAGGCAGAGTGGATGTAAACAAACTCTAGGCTCTTTCCAGCTGGTAGAGAGTTGAGCCATGCTGGAAAAACATATGAATTGCCTGACTTTGTCAGGCCCCACAGAGGACCGTAGAGCTTGGAGATTGAAAGGTTGAGAAATTTCAGTGTCTTGGGTGACTTGTTTGTCACAGTTGTGGAGTATCTGTAGTAAGTCTTGCCATTGTAATCCCATGAACTTGTCATCTTTTGTTCAATGGCAATGGGTGCGGAAGATGAAACTGCAAAACAAGCAAATTACATTAGATTTAATTATTCCCATATCAGATGAACATTTGGAATTACAGGCCACAAGAAAGGCATCCAACCATTGGACCTAAGTAGCATGGACATAGACACAAGACACAACAATTTTGAAAAGAAAAAAAAAAGATACATTGGGGATATGGTAAACCCAAAAAAATATATATATTTTTATAAATATAAATTTTGGGTATAAAGATAAGAGACATCAATGTATATGTGTATTTTTATTTTTTTTCACTTTCCATCTTTTTGTTTCTTTACTTTGAACTCAAATAAGCTTTCTAAAATTATTTAAAAAAATCCATAAAATTGTAGGCATGTCTAAACATAGGACACATGTATCCGTTAAGTGTCATGCAAAAAAATAATAACTAAAAAATATTTAACACCTCATGTGCCGTGTCTAAATGTGAACACGCAAATCAATGGTGTGTTGGTATCCAATACATGTTGGACATAGACACAATACCCAATTTGAAGTGTCCGTGCTTCCTAGAATTAGACAAAGTCCAACAGAGATTGCAGGAATACCTTGAGATGGTGTGGTTCTAGTTACTGGAGCAGGCTTTGGCTGGGTTTTAGGGGCTGGAAAGGTCACTGTAAAACAAATTTTATTAAACATTATCAGCAAGAGAAAATGTTATTCTTAATTATATAGAATCAAGAAATAAGTAAGTAACAAAATTTCAGATTATAACCCGTATATATACCTGGAAGGAGCTGGTTGTAGCCGCTATGTCCACCGTGTAGTCTTGCTAAAATGCCAAGAAGAGGAGCATTGTTGTAGGTAGCTGGCTCTGTTTGCTCATAGTTGTCTCTTTGATCAGCAAAGTTGTCATAAGCGTCGGGTCCACCAACAAGGGCACCTGTTAGGAGGTTTGGATCGCTCGCCTTCCTGCTAAACCATGTGGCATAGCCTCCACGGCAACTGACAAATGAAGGGTTGACCTTGAAGGAGACAATGGAGGAAGCTCTGTGATGGACCTGTTGTGGGTAGTTGTTTCCATAGCCTACCATGTAACTTGTAGCTCTTGGGTTGTCTCCAAGAATATAGTCCACCTGAGGGTTCAAACATTGCAAGAATTAGAGCCTTCTAACAAACTAGTTACTATTCTTAAAAATATGTCAAACTGATTCAAATCGTATAGTTTAGTTTGGTTTTTTGAAAGGACAGTTTAGTCCCAGTTCCAAAAATGTATTGATCTTGTCAGATGATAACAAGTCTCAACCTGAGATTTGGCAAATGAAAGAAGCTCAGATGGAGAGACACTGCCAGAAGCACACTTCAGGTTTTTCCCGGCGGAGGTGAGATAGTCGGAGTAGACACTGAGAAGGAAAGAGGCACTGGTAACAAACTGCAGGTTGTTCCATCTCTGCCTGAAAATAAGGCCTCCGGGAGTCTTCTGAGTGTTGCGAGTGCCCTTTCCAAGACATGAACACATGAAAAACTCTGCCTTCTCCTTGTACTGCTCAAACACTGGTGCATAGTGACCGGCTCTGCCTCCCATTAGAAGCTGCAACAACACAAATGTAACCAATTTCTTAGCTCCCAATCAATAAAATCATTGAAAACTGATTTTATAAAACAGTTCCACAAGAAACAGATTGAAAGGGGTCATTTATATTGATCATAATGAAGATGAAAGCTTATGACCTGTGGATTCATCAACATCATACTGGAAGCATAACACTCAACTTTCATGAAGTGTCATTTCTCAAAATGCCATATGATAGGCGGGTTTGGTATAGTTTTGGTTTTCTGTTCTTAGAAATATAAAAAACAGAAACTGAATAGAAAAGCTTGTTTGGCAAATCAGTGTAAAAAACTATCTTCAATTTTTTTTTTCCCTTCTAGAACCTTTTAGAAAACAATTTAAGTTGATTTCTGAATTTTTAGTAATTGATTATACACAACAAAGAAAACAAAAGGCACTTTCAAACTTTCATTTTTTTTTTGTTTGTTTCATAAAACACGAAAAACAAAAACATCAAAAATGAAAATAAACCCAAACATTGCTGCTCTTTACAATTTAGTGATTAATAAGGTGCAAAACAAAGAATGGGAAATCCTAAGTACAATCAAATGAAGCATTTATAAATTTATTTATTTTTTTTGGAAGTCGATGAGATTCAAACTGGCATATCACTGACTCCAAACACCAGTTTAGGAAGCATTTACAAGTTCAAAACTTCCGTACAGACAGGTCATGTTTGATTCCACAAGACTAATAGTGAGATATTAATAATCCAATCAAATTAGTGTAGTATTCACAATCCCACCCCTACCCCATTACTAATAATCCTACAAATTTGTTGGATTAATTATCCATTTGATTGATAATCCTAAAACAAAATGTCAAAACAAACATAGAATAATTGGGCCCGCGGATTAATAATCTCAATCTTCTAATCCTTCCAATCAAACATGCCAACAAAGAATTAGATCATTTAATAACATGTTTGTAACAATTAAAGCAGAGCTACCCATGTGGATGAAACAATGTCACACGTATCAAATAATGCATCAAGAAATTGAAGGACAAGTTTTCAAAATTTTACCTTGGCAACAAGAGTTTGAACACCGGCATACTTGACATCCCATCCGAACTCGGTCATGGCCCAACCGGTCCCACCAAGAGAATCACCATTGTTGCCAAGGTAGCTCAAGTAGTACTGGTTGTTAGTAGCCTTGTACAACCATGCAGCAGCCCATAGCAACTCATCCTATATATGCAGAAGAAGAAAACATCACAAAAAAGTCCAAATGTAACCAAAATAAATAAATAAATAAGTATAAATGGTAATATGGTATAGTGTGCGACATTATTGTATATGAATATCCGACTATTTATTGGTGTGGATCCTGCATGGAGCCTCTGCAACAGATGGTGGGATGTGCATGTGTAACAATGTTACGTGCTGCTCGATGGTGGCAATAGAACAAAATATAATAGGATGTCTGGATTACGCGTCTTAATTTTTCTTCTGCCTTTTCAGGTGCTGAAAACATTTCCTAGTGCAACGAAATACTTGAAAAGTAAGTTGTATTTGATACAATATTCAGTTTGCATTTGCATGCGGCATTAAGAAATAATACTGTATTCATTTTTTCATATAGCAATTGTGAGCTTTGGCAAGGTTACTCCTGAGCAGATAAGTTTTTTCAACGTTACATTGACATGTGTTTTTCCAGCTTGAGGACATGATTTGTTGGCCTAACCGGGGCGTGTTGCAACTGGGATTGAAAATTGTTCTCAGTTTGGCTACCTGGAATCACAGCGACGGTTCTTGCTTTCTGGATTGGTTTGTGGTTTGTCTATACCTGCCTTTACACACAAAAATGAGTTAGATTGTCATCATTTTGCTACATAATTATACTACCAGAATGTGTGATTATTTACTCTCTACTTGTTTCCAAATTAAGCACAAGGGCATTTGTCATTTACAGATTGGATTTTATTCTCTCTCTCTCTGAGTTATGAGCTTCCTTAACTTCTATCTTTTTTTTTTTCTTTTATTTATATATTTTTTGAGAAATGTCTACCTTGTTTTACAC